CGAGGCAAGTTATTGAACCTAACTAAATTTGTGCCTCAGCTTCCTTGTCTCTAAAACGGGGTTAGCAAGAGTGCCTCCTTCGTAGCATTTTTGCGAGAATTAAATTGGCTGAAGTAGATGAGCCCTTAATAGGCATGCCATACCATTGATTCTAATGAAGTCCGAACACCGTATCAAACCCTGAAGGGTCGGGATCTTCAACCCATCGAGGAGAAGACTGAATGTCGGAGAGGAGAAGGAACTACCTGGCCTTATAACCTGGAATGAGTGACCATGTCAGGATTTGAACCCAGCTGTGGGAGGGTCCTCAATAAGCTGAACTACCAGCCCACATGTGAGTCTGGTGCCAGGGAGCACGTTAGACAAGAAGGGCACTCCTACCTCTTCCCCTGTGGCAACGAGATCCCTCTCCATGAGTCCATGACCTCTCTGACCCTCCTATAGTAACGAGGGTTCTGACGGCCCGGGTGGCATTTCTCCCTCCAGAGAGACTCCTCCCTGAATCTGGAAGTGGCCTTGAACGGTAACCGTTGCCCGTTGGGTCTCTCAGAGGGAGGGACTCGGGACAGTTTACTTATTACATGACACAGGAAATTTATTGGAGACCAGAGGCCTCAACGGAAAACATTCTTGACTTATTTTCAGTTGGAAACGTTTGAGAGATAAAATTGGCCACTCAGCGTTAGCCTTTTGAGTCACAACAGATCCCTAATCACAGAAGTCTCTGTTTTTCGGGAGAGATGCACACACATCTGGGAAGGGCTGCTTCTCTGCAGGAGTTCGTGTTTCTGGTGTGGGTTAAATGCCACTGCCGCCGATGCTGGAGCCCCATCGGGTGACCTGTGGTCCATGGCTACTCACACCTCAGCCTTGCTCTTAACTTCACTTAAACCTTGGAAATATTCTCAGCTATGCGCTGGGAGTCATAGTTGGGAGGTCATAACAAGTTACCTAAATCAGGGTAGGGAGTAGTGGCCTGGTGATTAAGTCCATAGGTGTGCAGTACCAGACTAGTTGGATTTGAATCCCAGCTGCATCATCACTAGCTCTGTGAACCTGGCCATGTTTCCTCCCTTCTCTGTACCTCAGCTTCTGTATCTGGAAAGTGGGGATAATAATATCACCTACCTCGTAGGGTTGGGGGTTTTTTTGTTTGTTTGTTTTTGTAGTCTTTTTTAACATTCATTTATTATTGAGAGAGCGTGAGCAGGGGAGGGGCAGAGGGAGAGGGAGACAACAGAATCTGAAGCGGGCTCCAGGCTCCGAGCAAGCAGTCAGCACAGAGCCCGACCCGGGGGCTCGAACCCACAAACCACGAGATCGTGACCTGAGCCGAAGTCGGACGCTCGACAGACGGAGCCACCCAGGCACCCCTTGTAGGGCTGTTTTAAAGGACAAAATGAGTTCGTGCTCGTAAAGTGTTTAGAGGAGCGTCTGGCATATGTCTAAGTGCACAATGCATGTTTGCTACTGTGCTTGCTGTCGGTATTATCAGTATCCTTTGGAGTCATAATTTGGGTTTGCATAAGTGTTAAGGAAGCCTGTTGGAAAGTCTTCATCAATCATTAAAGGATACACAGCCCCGACAGCTTAGTCCCTTTAAGGCAAGAGGGACCCAGAGGGGAAGAACTATAAGCCCTCACGGGGATAGTTGGCTTGAAGTGAAGTTTTGGGCACCGTCTCTGCAATCCCTAGGTGGCTAAAATCCATCAGGATTAGCAGCTGGACCTTGTCTGTTAGATTAAGGTAAATGGAAGCCGTGGAACTTCCAGTCTGCACAGAATTTCTTCTCTCGGCAGCCCTTGGCCGATCCCTGCTGTGTGGCAGGCCCGTGGACGCCTCCCAGTCGAGGACCACTGAAGGCTGAGTTTACCTGTTTCTTCCTGTCTTGGCTGGAAGGACAGACGCACAAAACCACCTGCACCCCTGCGCTCCGCCGTGCGGACACACACAGCGCATGCGTGTGTTGTCTGGAAGGTCGGGTCGGCAGCAGCATGCGGAACTCAAGGCATTTTATTCAAAAGTCTCAGTTCCTTTTGCATTTGCATGTTCTGGATGCCAGGTGGCAAACTAGAATTAATTTTAATACAACAGAAACTGCCATTCAGCTCCAAACCACCGTCCTTGGTGGTTTATTTTTAACCCGGGAGTGACACGGGCCACCTGGCCAAGTGCTGCCAGGCAGTCGCCCCTCCTGCCGTCTGCTGAAGCCTCCCCCAGGAGCCTCACCTCCAAGGAGTTGGTTGGGAGGCTGTGTTTTACTTTTGTAGGCTGCCGGAAGGGCTGTCACCCCAGCTTCCCCGGTGCGAACGTTGGCTGACAAAGGCCAAAGCTGAAAATGTCAGTGAGAACAAACAATATTTCAAAAGGGCCTTGTGCATTTCCCTCCTCTGTCTTGCCTCATCAGCCAAGTGTTGTGCGAGTGGCTCCAGAAGGACACCAGTCGACCCAGGAAGGAATTAATCACGCAAAAACACATTTCTGCAGTCCACTTCGTTCTGATGCTATTAAGCAGCACCTACGTGCTAATGATACGGAGAGAGAGAGAGAGAGAGAGAGAGAGAAGCAATTGATATCGGCGGATGTCTTTTCAAAGCTCCATTTCTTGTTTCTTCTTTTAGTATTTTCAGGCTCAGGAAAGCTCATACAGAAATGTTATGGTTCCAGACACTGTTCGCCGGTGGTTAGCACCTGCTTCCTGCTCAGAAAGGAGAAAGCGCTTCCTTTACGTAGTCGTCGTTTAGGCGTGCCTCTCCCCCTTAGAGCGCAGATTTGCTCTAGTGACACGAAGGAATCCCAGGGCACACAGCGAAGCAGTTTGGAGGGTGGGTTTGGGTGACACAGACCTGAGCTGGGACTCCAGCCCTACCGTGTAATAGCTGGGCGACTTTGGGAAGGTGTTTCCATTTCCTGAGCTTCGGTTTCCTCGCCTATAAACACTACAGACAGGCATACAATTCACCTCTCAGGGTCTGCGGAAGATAATGTAACACGGAACCCCAAAGGTGCTGGGGGCGCGGGGGGACTCTGCAGGAACAGGCCTCCCCCCCACCCCCACACCCCGACCCCGGGCTACTGGCTCAGAACTGCAGACCAAAGCAACTGAGATTCAGGAAGTCAGCTACAGGCTCCAGACAGAAATGCCTGCTTCCTGGGGCCACTTACGTCTCTGAGCCTCAACTTTCTCATGAATGAACGCGCAGAATCTTCTGACCACCTCTGGAGCAGGCCAAGTGAGAGATGGCATCTGAGTTAAAGTCAGTGCTGTCGGAAGCCACACCCGGCCCCTGACTAACGATGTGGTGCCTGGCCTGGCATAGGGGCCACCATGCAGTAGGCCCAGAGGAAGGTAAGCTTCCTCAGGAAAGGACAGCCCTCTAGGCTCAAGGAAGTACGCTTCACCAGGACAGCTACAATGACTTAACCTTTCCGCGTTGGAGTTTACTGAAGTGCAGACCAGGGATAATAACAGTCCTAGAAAAATAATGAGTTTTCTCCTAAGGGGATAGAAGCCTTCTGAGATAGTTACACAGGATCGGGTAGAATCAGGTAATTTTTCAACTCCTTCTTGAGATTTTAGGTTCACGCCTGCCAAATGCACAGAAGCTCTTGGGTTAAATAATTCTTTAAGCAGCTGGTAGCCATTGGGCCTCTATTTTGAATGCCACTGACTCTTGGGAGCCAGCAACTGATCTTGGCTCTGTCTGTCAACATGTTGAAAGTGTGTTTCTTAGGAAATTTTAATGAGTCATTTATTCATTCAGTAAATATTGGTTGAACATCTACTCTCTGGCACACCGTTGTGAGAATTAGAGAAACACTATAAACGGGGAAAAGGCCTTGCTTTTTTTGGAGCCTCCATCACAGGAAGGGTGGATGGATAATAATTAAATGCAAAAATAAATAAACAAGTTGCTGTGGAGGCACAAAAGCAGGGTGAGTGAGGGAGACACCGTGGGCTGGATGACAGTGTTGAGGGAAGTGAGGGGGTGACGTGAAGCCAAACCAAAAATGCCATGATCTAAGAACAGAACATTCCAGACAGAGGGGGTGGCAGATAAAAGTATTCTGAGGTGGCAAAGGGCTCAGTTCCAAAGGAACTGAAGGCAAGCCTTATGGCTGGAGCAGAGTGAGCTACAAAAGGTTAGAGAGGGAGACAGGAGCCAGCTCGTGTAGGTCTTATCAGCCATGATAAGGACATTTATTCTGGGTACGACCAGAAGCCATCGAGGTTGTTAAATTATGGGAATAATAAATACCACATGATTGGGGGGAAATGCTCATAGTATGAGATTAAGTGGAAAAAAAGACCATCAAATCAAAAACTGTGTATTTAGTACCATTTTTACTATGTAAGTACATAAGTAGACACACCCGCATGAGTGCACACATACACACACACACACACACACACACACACACACTCAGAAAACTGAAAGAAGATACAGCAAAATATTTAAAGTGTTGGCGATAGTTGGTGGCCTTGCTTTTCCTTCCTTACTTCCCTGAATTTTGTCGGTTTTCTACAAGTTATATGACTTTCATAATCAGAAATAAATCCTGTGCTTTTTAAAAACTTGCTTGTAAAGCAATTGATGGAGAGAAAGTAGAGTGACCCTGCTTTACTGTGTCCAATCACAGCGTTGAGTTGAACGTGTGGTGCTTCGGAAGGCCATGTGAATGTGGAAGACTCTGGCCAGTAGAGGTTTTTTAAGTGAGTCTTTTTTTAAAGTTTATTTATTTTGAGAGAGAGAGAGAGAGAGAGAGAGAGAGAGAACCCCAAGCAGGCTCCACACCTTCAGCGCAGAGCCCGACGTGGGGTTCAAAGCCACGAACCATGAGATCGTGACCTGAGCCAAAACCAAGAGTCGGATGCTTAACGACTGAGCCACCCAGGCGCCCCTTAAATGAGTCTTTTTAACGAATCTACCCTAAAACAAACTTCTTACCCTTCACAGTAGTGTATGCAGAAGTATCTAACATTTCTGTTTCATCCACAGATTTGAATATAACCTGCCGATACGCGGGTGTGTTCCACGTGGAGAAAAACGGTCGCTACAGCATCTCGAAGACGGAGGCTGCCGACCTCTGCAAGGCTTTCAACAGCACCCTGCCCACCATGACCGAGATGGAGGCAGCCCTGAGCATCGGGTTTGAGACCTGCAGGTGAGAGGCGAGAGGGGGCGGGGCTTAGAACCCGGAGGCTCCTCCCTGACGGCTGAAGGATGGTTGTCTGAAGGGTCGGCCCCACCCATTAATTTGGGCAACTCAACCTGGAACCTGTAGGACAACTGGAATTGAAAGCCGGCTAAAGACACCTTTGTGAATCATAGTGGGGTTGCCCTAAAGACACCTTTGTGAATCATAGTGGGGTTGCCCGGAGGAGGCCATTAAGGGTCAAGGGTTGGAATCCTCTTGCCTAAAGTGCTTCCACAGCGCTCTCCCGGCTTTGAAGAAGCGTGCAATATCATTGTCGGAACCACAAGAAAACGTAAACCAAATAACAGTGTTTAAAATAAATACGTGCCTGGTGGAGTCCTGGCTCTGCAGACGTGGCTCAAAGCAGAGTTTTTTCCAAACAACTCCCTCTCTCTGTCTCTTTCTCTCTCTCTTTTTCTCTCTCTGTGTCTCTCCGTCTCCCATTTGTTTGTTTCTCTTCTCTGTTGCTCTGGTTTGAGACTGTAAACGAAAGAGCATGGCAATTATTAAGATAGATTATTACACGTGATTGGGAAGTGGTCAGAAGGACCCAGAAGGCCTCCGGAGAGACCTTGTGTGGGACATCACCGCGCTCCATGGACCCTTCTGCTACAGGACGGTCACAGCATGCAGTGGCCTTCTGCTTCTGAGTTTCCAATGGCCCTGTGGCGAGTGGTACACATTGAAAGCTAGCAGCGGTGACAACCACGGTGAAGTGGTTTGGTCTGGTTTGTTTTCACTAGAAGAGTTCTGGGTAAGCCGAACAACCGCTCTGAAGTCTCCACCCAGCCGGCAGCTTCCCCCTGTTTTTGCAATGTATGTCATTAGGTAACACGCTTCCTCTTTCTCATTATACACACACGTACAAACACAGGCTGCTTTTTAAAAGTCAAGCTGCAGGGGCGCCTGGGTGGCTTGGTCGGTTAAGCGTCCGACTTCGGCTCAGGTCATGATCTCACAGTCCGTGACTTCGAGCCCCGCGCCGGGCTCTGTGCTGACCGCTCAGAGCCTGGAGCCTGTTTCAGATTCTGTGTCTCCCTCTCTCTTCCCCTCCCCTGTTCATGCTCTGTCTCTCTCTGTCTCAAAAATAAATAAATGTTTAAAAAAAATTAAAAATAAATAAATAAAAGTCAAGCTGCTGACGCCTTTATCCAAGCCATGAGATGTGAGTTAAGTACGCCTGTCCGCATCCTTGGCTACAGGGTAACGCCCACATTAGGAGTGGGAGCCCAGACTCTCCTGTTGAAAACGAAAAGGAAAGTCTTGACTCCAAAACTGCACCGATAAGGTAGCCACTCACCACGTGTGGGGGGCTCACTGCAATTCAGTAACATTGAACCCTGGTGCTTCGGCGGCTCTGTTGACATTCAAGTGCTCAGCTAGGACGGATGACTGGCACCTGCTCTATTGGGCAACGCAGATGATAGAACATTTCCATTATCGCAGACAGTGCTACGGAGCAGTACTGCTCTGACAGACAGAAAGGGCAGATGTGCGCAGACATCTGCGTGTGCTCTGAGCGAGGTCTGGGAGAATGCGAAAGCGGAGGAAGGAAGAAGCTTCGCTGACTCCCAAACCCCAGCTGTAGGCTGCAATGAAGGAAGGCCAATTAGCAGATCCATTTATTCTGTTCCCCCAGGCTAATTGTTTAAATACAGCCCTGGCTAGGCCAGTAGCCTAAAAAAGACTCACGAAGCTGAATTTTGATTGTGAAATACAGGCAAGACATACTTAGGAAACACAGAACTGTTCCCATCTGCTGAAAAGAGGGAGGTTCTTCCCACTCCCACTGGCGAACTGTTGCGCACTTAGGGGTTGGGCGCCCTGCTCCCCACTCGCCCACGTCCCCTCCATGCTCAGACTGCTCCCTGGGTCGATCCTATTACTCCAGTGTCTGGATGAAGCCACTGAGGCTAGGAGAAGTGCCGAGGCTCAAGAAGTGGCCCCAGGGCCACATTGTGTGCGTGGGGAGGAGTCCAGATCCCAGTCCTGCTTCTTCGCCTGAGCCCAGGGCCAGAATTTAATGACCCTCCCCAAGGGCGGACTGCAAGGGGGAGGAAGCAAGGTGCATGGATTTGCTGAGCATTTCTTTCCTCCCTGTGAACAGCAACCTGCTGGGGCAGTATACACACATTTAAATTTTAACATCCCAGCTCATGTACGGTGGGATGCATAAAAGTGGCAGTTGGAATGATGTGGCAACAACTCAGGAATAACTTACAAAGGGAATGCAGATTCTAGAATGTCAGTATTACACAAATCTCCTGAATGTGATGGGGGTGGGGTGGGGAGTAGGCTCACCAAGGATATTGTTAATTAAATTAAAACAAGAAAGAATATTGTAAATTAAAACAAGGAAGAAAGAAAGAAGAAAAAGAAAGAAAGAAAGAAAGAAAAGAAGGAAGAAGGGATGGAGGGAGGAAGGAAAGAGAGAGGAAAGAAAGAAAAGAAAGAAAGAAAGAACGAACGAACAAAAGAAAGAAAGAAAGAAAGAGAAAGAAAGAAAGTAAGAAAGAAAGAAAGAAAGAAAGAAAGAAAGAAAGAAAGAGGGATGCCTGGGTGGCTCAGTCAGTGAAGCATCCGACCTCGGCTCAGGTCATGATCTCACAGTTGGTGAGTTCGAACCCCACATGGAGCTCTGCACTGTCAGAACAGAACCTGCTTGGGATCCTCTGTCTGCCTCTCTCTCTGTCCCTCCCCTGTGCGCGCTCTCTCTCTCTCTCTCTCTCTCTCTCTCAAAAATAAACACCCCCCAAAATTTTTTAATTAAAAATAAAAAAGAAAGAAAAAGAAAAACCAAAGGGGCCTAAGAAACCTATCCTTCCACCCGGAGCAGGTATTAAATGTTGCAAAACACATTACCATAATTTCGCTCCGGTAGCTATGAATCAGATATCTGCCACAGGACAGGTGGCAAGTCTCATAGGCTCCCATAAAACCTTAGCAGCCGCTCTCTTCTGTGTGCCCCGCCCTGATTAGTAGCCTTTCCCAGATATATGGAAACTTGTTAACATTTAATTGCTCTCCCTCTGCCCACCAAGCTCAGGAGTCTTTGGAGAAACCAGTCTGTCCTTTCAGATGGGGAATTAGTCATGCGCTACAGTTGCAACATAGACCTAATGAGCTCTATGTGCTTAGACATTTCAAATTCATGGCCATTTCCGTGGGTCTTGCAGGGCTATGCGCTATGTGCTGTTGCCTCTGGCAGGAAAGATTAAAAGGATCTACGCTGCGCGTTTTAGCCAGCATTGCAGTTTCAGAAACTTGCTGGATTTAACTTCACCCTCTTTGTCCTACCTCCCCCGCCGCCACCCTCTTCTCATACCACATCTCATTTTGAGGCATTTTCCCTTCCGGACAGATTGTGTAGTGAGTATTCAGCTTCTGCGATGCGGATCCAAGAGGCCCGGGTGCTGTCTGTTGTATCCAAAGGGGCCTCCAGCTCTGACCTGCTCCCCTGCTCCTGGAAACATCCTGGTAGGGGCAGAGGGGCCTTATGCACTTCTCTGACTGTGCTGCCTCTGGAAAATTCCCCAGCTAAATGAGGCACCGCTATCTACTTACTTAATCACTATTACTCCCATTTTAATGACAGTCAATTTACTTCCACTGGCAATGAAATTATGCCTGGGATGCTCGTGAGGCAAAATGTACTGTGTTCCTAGCATATAAACAGGGCTTTGTGTTTGCAGTAATGGAGTCTGGAGCAAGGGAATCACAGGAAAAGGTGAAGCGGGGAAGGAAGGGGTGGGGGTGGGGAAATAGGCAGTTTTGACATTCGCGGGCTGATGCGAAGAGCCACCTCGTCCCATCCTTTGGGGGCTGGTGATTTGATGTGTTTCCTGGAAAATGGGAAGGTGATGGAGAGCCGGAGTGGAACTCACATCATATAAAGTGGTCGTTCTTCCCTCTTCGGCGACTCAGGCTTCCCTCCGCCTGTTGGAACGGACTTGCGGCTGCTGCCCACAGATTTTATCTGAAAACAGGTTTTTCCTTCCTGCCTCTTTCTTTTTCAAAGCTCTGTATAGAGCTCTAAATAAAGTCAGCCGTGTCGATCCCCTCCATTCTCCCTCTGCTGTTGTTTTTGGATTTCGTACAACTCAGTTGTTGAAACGTCTGCCGTCCCCAGGGGTGAATTGAACGAGGCGGTGCAGCGTGTGAGATGTCACGTGATGGTGTGTTCTGAAACCCCCATCGCCGCCTTGCAGGTGGATGACCTCTTGCTTGTCTCTTGCAGGTACGGGTTCATAGAAGGTCACGTGGTGATCCCCCGTATTCACCCCAACTCCATCTGTGCCGCGAACAACACCGGGGTGTACATCCTCACATCCAACACCTCCCAGTATGACACGTACTGCTTTAATGCTTCAGGTTGGTTCCAAGTGGATCGTCTCTGCGCTTGGGGTTTCTTCGGGCATGCGGGCCTTCGGCAGTGTAGCTGACAGTAATTCAGTCTTGGCTGAAGTGGGGGGGGGGTCATGTGGCTTCCCCTCACATAACAGATGTTCACTGAGTATCTCCACAGCAGAGACAAGATGCCTATCTCCAGGGTGCTGACTTTCTAGGCAGGGAGGCCAACAGGAAACAGAGAGATAGTAAATACCTTAAGTGATGGGAGAGAGTGGCGAGTGCTCTAAAAAGGAAAGCAGAGCGGGAAGCTTCAGAGTGCTAGGGGAGCTTTGGTCTGAGAAGGTGGCCAGGGAAGGTGCCTGTGAGGAGGTGCGTTTGGGGGAGCCCCAGCTGGAGTCAGGGAGGAAAGCCAGGGGCAGGGGGGACAGCCAGTGCAAAGCCAGGTGTCGGGGAGCATGGTGGCTTATTCTGAGGACGCCAAGGTGGCCAGGGTGGATAAAGCCCCGCTAGCAGAAGCAAGAATGCCAAGGAATGAAGTCAGGGGGGTAGACAGGGGCCAGATCACACAGGGCCCTGCAGGCCATGATAAAGAATGTGGATTTTACTAGGTTCACGTGATGGAAAGTCATTGCGGGGTTTTGAATAAAGAAGTGACATGAATCTAATGAGAGCGTTGGTGTATGAGCCAAATGGCTTAGCTCAGAGGTATTTATTATATGTTGGGGCTGTAGAGAAAGCTGGGAGGATATACTGTAAGCCTTTGACCTTCTTGAGTTTCCTTTCCCAACAATTGAGAGCCTGACAACTGGAGAATGAGAGCGCCAAGCTACGACGTGCACGCTGGGCTGCTGGCCAGGCTCCTCTCCCTGTCTAAGGGACCTCCTTCCAACCACTGGCCTAGAAACATGCTCATGAGTCTAATTCAGGCTCCAGCAAAATTCAAAAATTCCATGCATCGTGTATTTTCAGCGTCTTTTGAGAAGGGTCAAAAACGTAAATGTCAAATTTTGAATGCCGACAATGAAACATTGATCGATTACTTACTTCTCAGACTGGGTGTTCTGTCCCTTAGAAAGGTTTTAGATTGTGTGAAAGGAAGATGGAACCACAAGATAAACCCCATAAACACGTCTTCCTGGCATATCGGTTCTCCTTAAAGTTGGGAAGGAGGGCTGAGTTAAATTAGCTGGACCGTGGTTAAAGACAGTATCTGTCGGAGACAAATACAGATTATTATACGATGACTGAAGACGTTGTTTGCATGAGACAAACACAGATGTCATATATGGTAGTAGAATATCAAATCTGCATGGATTTTTAAGTGCAAGTGGAAGCATCAAAATAATTGTGAGATTACGTCAGTAGCTTTCACTCTCCGGCCACCCACTGTGGCGTGACCAGTCGGGATCCGAGTGGGAAGTCGAAGGAGAAGTCTAGACTTTAGGAGAAAGAGAAAGCTTCAGGGTTGAATAGCTGAAATGGAGTGTGTGAAGCCAGTAAAATTATGTCAAATACATGCAGGTCTCTAAGCCTGTGGGAGGGACACTCAAAACACAGAGGAGAAGACCGAAGAGTGTTTTCTCTTCCCTGGTATATGAGAGAAGGGTGCGAATGAAGTTCAACCAAAAAGAGGAGAGTCCAAATGAGGCTAAACAGTACATGGCCCATACCCCGTTCCCACACTCAAACCCACACCGTCCGTCTGATGACACGATGGTGAGAAAACCCACGTGCAAATAAAGGAGAAATAGACACAAAGCCACATGTGGCCTAGCTCGCTTATTTTATTGCCAGAGGGCTTTGGGAAGACGTTGTGTTTTATACATTTTTTTTTCAACGTTTATTTATTTTTGGGACAGAGAGAGACAGAGCATGAATGGGGGAGGGGCAGAGAGAGAGAGGGAGACACAGAATCGGAAACAGGCTCCAGGCTCTGAGCCATCAGCCCAGAGCCCGACGCGGGGCTCGAACTCACGGACCGCGAGATCGTGACCTGGCTGAAGTCGGACGCTTAACCGACTGCGCCACCCAGGCGCCCCGAAGACGTTGTGTTTTAGACGAAGGGGTTGGTCACATGGGACAGGGCTGGCATGGGACTGCATACTCCAGAGTCTCTGGGTCCTGCCTGTTTCTTCTCCCACCGAATCTTGTCAAGTGAGTGTATGCCATAGATTATGTTGTTGCGTATCCACATTGTCTCACCTGTTTGACGAGTTAGTATCGCTTGCTGGAAAGAACCTGAACTCAAAAGGCTAGAAGCTCGCACTGTTTTATTGCCTGGAATCGCAGCCATCTAGACAAGTTACTACTATCCTCAGAGAAGGGAGTGAACAGTACTAATGAACTTTCCTCTTCTTTGCGGGGGAGGCGGTAGTCCAGCTGAAAAGTTGGAGAAGTTCAGGGAGTGTGTGCATACGAAAATGGTTGTAGCAAAGTAGTCAAGGTTAAGGGGAAGATTTCCTCTTCTCTTATCCAAATTTACTTAATGTAGATAGGCTGCTTTTATACGTTTTTCCTTAAGTTTTTGGTTGTTGTTTTGTTTTTAAATGTTTATTTATTTTGAGAGAGAGAGAGAGAGAGAGAGGGCACGAGTTGGGGAGGGGCAGAGAGAGACAGGGAGACAGACAATCTCAAGCAAGCTCCAAGCTGTCAGCACAGAGCCCGATGTGGGGCTCGATCCCACAAACCTCGAGATCATGACCTGAGCTGAAATCAGGAGTGGGACACTTCACTGAATGAGCTACCCAGGTGGCCCAGTTTTCCTTTAAATTTTAAAAAGAGTATTTATCGATCCACTATATGTACCCGGTACTCTGCTGGGCAGGTCGAGTGAGAAAGAACCAGTGGCCATATTTCTTGTCTTGGGAGGTTATTTCGTTGAAGTGATGAAACAAAACAAGAAAAAAAAAAGAAGCTGGAGAAGATTGTTTATCTCAGGAGAAAGTCTAAATGTCTTGGTTTAGAGTCAGATGAAAGAGGGGCTAAGGGGACTATGGGTCTTGATAACCTTCTGTTCTATGCAGGGATCTCATTGGAAAGGTCCTTGAATCCAGCCTAGCTGGAGAGTTGCCAGCAGCTAGTCAAGACCCAATGATGTGATCCCCCACAAGACCCTTTTGGTCTACAGGGACCAAATCCAGCTCAATCTTAGCAGATCGCTTC